ATTCCTGCATACGGGGCAGAAGTATTGGCACTTGGAATCCACACCCCTTCGTCACTAATGTCTTAGCTCTGCTCCCCGGTCTGGGTGCTTCTACGCCCCAGCAGCACTTTGACCCTGACAGGGTGAAATAAGTGTAATCCTCCCTATGCCAGAGGTCAGAATACTCCTGGCAGGGCTCGAGGGAAGAGGAAAAACAGCTGCCTGCAGCTTGCAAAGGAGGCTTTCTGGGGATTAATGTGACAGAAATGGAGAGTGGAGAAAGCTTGTGAGGAACAAGCTCCCAGGTCTCTTTAGGGAGCAGCACCTAGGATATTCTAAGGTTTCTACCAGCTGACAGCCCTGAGCTGCCCTTTCCCCAGATGCACTTTCTGCCTCCAGCAGACAATTATACACTCTCTGCTTTGCAGTGGGAAGTTGTCAGGCCAGGTCACCACTCCAGGCTCCAGAGCACTTGCTAGCAGAGATGGGCTTCTCACCTGGTCTTGTATTAGGTCTCCCAGGTGTTAAAAAAAAAAAAGTCAAACAGGAGAAGGCATAGGACTGTGCCAGGTGAGAACATGGGAGCTTTTAAAGCCAACAGCTTTGTGTTATTTAATAAGCTAAAAATATAAATTTCTTTCAAGTTATGTTTGCATGATTCCTAGCCAGGCAATTGGACTGATCACTGCTGTCCCCTGGGCACTATCACCAGACTACCTTTCTGGGGGGGGGGGGGGGGGTGTTAAATAGAAGCCAACAACTGGTTTCAGCTTACAAACTGAAGGCCTGAGAACATCTCAAAGCACCTTAAGGAGAAATGCCTGGTCTCTAACATCAAATGCAATCGATGTTCAGGTCCGTGGGCCAGTACTGGTCATCCAGGTAGTGGTTGCTGTCTGTATTACTGTCTGTAGGGCTACTAGGGAAACTGTGAGGAAGGCTGCTGGCAAGTTTCTGCTCCCACTCTTCCTCCACCAGTCTGTAGAGCTCCATGGATGTCTGAGCATCTTCCACCGACGAGTGCCCTCTCCGGCCAACCTGACAGCAAAGGAAGAGAGCCACGTTAGAGTGGACAGTCAGCAAAGATTCTGCACGCTAAGCTCTGATACACTACTTATCCAGCCGGTTTTGTTGGACCAGATTCAAATACAACCAGGCCTCCACCCACATGTGCACCTCTAGCTTCTACGTGTATTTGGCCCACATCAGCCAAGCACTGCCCTTACAACACCCCTGGGAGGTACAGAACCACTCACCTGAATTCTTGTATGCAGCAGCTGCCTTGCCAGACTCTTGAGAGAGACGCTGGCTTTCAAGGGGAATCCTGCCTTCTGGTTCAGCAAAGGGATCCGACTGGTATCTCGAGTCTGCTCTTTGGGGTGAAAATATTTGAGGGCTTGGAAGTCATTATGTATGGCATGGCCCACCACGATCTTGTCTTTCAGGATCTGCAGGACCTGGAAGTGTCAGAGGGGGGTGAGTTGGGCAGCAAAGCCAAAGTAGAACCCTCTGCTGCACTGACTGGTTTATCTAGTCAGGCTCCCTAAGGAAATCAATCCCAAAAGCCCTCCAGTGACTATCCAGACACATACTACAGTGAAGCAGGGACAAATGTTTCAGAGAAGCTGTCTTGCTGCACCCTCCAGGGCAGGTTAAAAAATAGTAAGAGAGAAGCGGAAGGCAGAGATAATGGTACATGAGGAGAAGCAGCCTAGACATGCAGAGCATCCTGCTTTAGGCTGACATGCAGCAAGCCAGACTCAGAGCCAGGACTGGGTGGTCAGGAGTTGACAGGTCCCACACCAATCATGCCTCTACTGTGCTGGGGTTTTGAAGAGCTCCCCAGTGAGCCTGGAAGGAGGGCAGGGAACAAAGCCTCCCTGCCTGCTGTTGTCAGAACAGCAACATCCCAGGGTCCTGCTGA